ACTAATTATGATTTTTTAGAGCCTAAATCTTAAAATTCGAAACCCTAAAAAAGTTTTTGACCCCTAAAAACTCTAAAACCCTCAAAACTAAACCATAATACAACATAGTTAACCCAAACATAAATGATATAATGAATAAATAATTTTGAAAAAGTGGCATTTTGTAAAGATTGTAAAAAGATTGCATTTTTGTAAAGTGGCACTTGAAAAGTGGCATTTTTTGAAATTTTTCTATTCTTTATATATTAATTGAGGAGACATTTGATGAAAAATCATAAGTGTCATTCAATGAAGGTTTTAAGGAACATGCCATTTAAATTAACCAATTAGAACATTTCAATTAAAACCACATACCATGGTGAAAATCTCTACATACTCTTATTAAAATTTTAACATAAGCTCATTAATCCATGATTTACAAATCTAAACCTAACTAAATATAATATTTAGACTTCCGATATTATCTATTTTTAAATATTTCTGATATATTAAGAACTTATTATTATTGTATTTGTAATAATATTATGTATATATATGTATTTAGATTAATATATTATATATAAATGTTTTAATTATGATGTACCTATTATACATATAGAACTACATTTACAAATATTTATATATTTCATTATTAAAAAAAACATATATTGTTTTTCGTCTGTTATATCTGACAATTTATATAAATTAATTTTATATGATTTATGCTTTATAATTTACATAAATAATAAAAATTAATTTTACATTTAAAATATATTAAATTAAATAATATTTGCATATACTTTGATCAAATTTCCATATAAAAATATTAAAAATAATAACATCAAAATTTAAATTTATACACAGTACATATTATTTTGTTCGTATATAGATATTAAAAATCATATATTTTGTCGAACGTGTTTTAATATTAAAATCGATTAGAAAATATATTTAATTATTTAATCGGGTCAAAATCTAGTAGATATAAACAAGTGGGTCAAAATCTAATAGATATAAACAACAAGCACTGCTACATCGTTGATTCTTTATAGTCTCTTTTCTTAAACAGAATGAAAAAAGAAGAAGATTATTTAAAAGAATCCAAAAGGGCCATTGAAGAGAACCTCTGTTACACTCTTACAGATACAATGGTATTTTTCTGAAACTTTCTTTTGTTCTTCATTTCTTCAGAAGTGAATCTCTCTTCAGTACCTTTTTTTTTATTGAATCGAATCGCATTCGATGTATTACTTCTGTTATTGTATTTGTTCAACTGTCGTCACTGCTCGGAAACTCATTTTCCGATCTAGAATCATCCCTCCTAAAGGCAAATGACCCCATATGAGTATAGTGCTACTATATAAGAAAACTTTTTTGTAAGATCCAGAGATTTTGGGGAAGATGTAACTTACTTGTGAATGAATTGACCTTTGACGCGAGGCCGTTGTTCAGCTAGTTTCTTCCTGCTATGGCACCTGACCTA